GAATACGAACTGATAACAATAGCAAGAAACATATAAAGTAAAAAACAAAATAATCATAATAACAGTGATGGTGATAATAAAAACAAGTTGGATAGGCATACTAAATAAATTAAGAAAAGCAACATGTACAAGAAATATAGCAACACGAACAACAGCAAGAACAATAATGAGAAAACGAATAAGAGTACTAGAAGAAAGTAACAATACTAACACTAACAAGACAAATACGAAGACGAATAAGAATACAGATCCAATAGAACTGGCAGCAAAATGAATTAAAATGCATCAAGAAGAATGCGGACAAAGCTTACGACTAAATATGGGAAAAAGAAAATACTACTAATCAGCATAGAGATCGGAAGACCAAGCATCTAATAACATTAGTCTTCGAATCACACAGACAGAATATACAAGTAGAACGATGAGAATGATATTAAGACCACGAAGATGATGAATAACAAAAATCAAAACAGGATTCCGAAAAAAGACAAGGACTGACAATGAACATGAAATCAAAAAATGTGATTGAGGATGGCAATGCCAAAGAGAAGCTATTTTTATAATTACGGGTACAACTGGGAATCATAATCGTAGTGATAATGAGAATGAAAATGAGAATGTGAATACCTATAATACCGCGGAGGGGAGCTCCTACATTACCAACGTCGTTGTTCCCGATTCGCTCTGTTGCCCCCTCTGCGACAGCGAACCTTTCGAGACCTTCGACCTCCTACAAACGCACATCCGCAGTCACTTGGGCTCGATTCGTGCCTCGGCCGGGGCGCGCCGCGATCTGATTCCAGGGCTGCAGCCTCTTCTTCAACGAGTGCTCGCCCGACATGGTGTACGAGAACTTCCTGAAGGGCGCCGCCAAGCCGGAAGACAGGCAGGCCAAGCAGGCACGGCAGGACAGGGAGGAACCGGAGCCAGGCGAGAAGCGCGACGAGCTGATCTTGCTCGCCCAGCTAGCGGCGGAGTCGCGGGCGCACGCGGCCAACCTCTTCCGCACGTTCCTCGTGCCGAGTCCGACCGGGGAGACGTACTACGACGCGATGAAGGAGGCAGTGGGGAACTACGAGAAGAGCCTGCGGCCAGAAGGGGCACGGGCAGGGCATTCCAGCACACCATGCGACGGTGGCGGCCCTCCTCACGAAGAAGGACTCGCTGGACGCCGCCAGCGAGCAGTACGAGCTGATCGAGAGAGTTCTGACGGAGTCCGACGTCCCCAAGAAGCTGGGCAGGCATATCCTGGAGTTCCGCGGGTACGAGACGAAGGAGCGCGGGCATCGCTTCCGCGTCAACATGAACCCGACGGCGCCCGAGGACCTCCGCAAGGCGCTCGACCTGATCTTCAAGGACTGGGCTGCCAAGGGGGAGGAGGTGATCGGCCCGGCTCCACCGAGCAAGCGGGAGAGGCAGATCCAGGCCCGCATCCGCCGCCTGAAGTGAGTGCCAGCCGCGCTGAGGCGAGCAAATAAAACTGAGTCCGTCGTAACGGCCGTTTTTGCCGTGACGGCGCCAGCGGTGCCGTGCTGTTGATTCCAGTGGCCAATTTTTTGTCGTAACGGCGCCGCTGCCGTCGACGCCTGCCCGGGGAACTTTGCACACGTCGTGTTTTCCCGTTCAACGGCGCCTGTCGTAACGGCGCTGGTGCTTCTTGACTTCTATCTCAATGTCGCTGCTACCGACGAACATGCAATGCTGTTTCCTCCTCGCTGTGCCGCTCGGGACGCGGCGCGTCGGTGTCCCGTCCCACGCTAGGGCGGGGACGGATTCACCTTTGACGCGGCTTTGGTACAGTGGAGGGGCTCTTCCGACCCCCCATTGCAAGCGCGGGGCAGGCTAGCTTCTGGTAGCGATGAAACTGGCCGCGTCGGCCACGATCGAACTTTCCAGCTTGGCGACTTCATTGCAAGTTGCGTCTTCACATCTCCATGTTTCGCCTGAGGTCGGTCCTTGGGCTGTTTGGAAATCGGAAAAAAAAAACAATAATAAATACTAAGACGAATATTCGGAATAAGACTGCAAATAAAAGTAAAAACAGCATCAATAACCATAAAAAATACTACTACAAGTAATAGTAAGACTCAGAAAACACAGGCGCATGATAATCAGAATGTGAGTGAAGAGAAAAATATGACCAGCCGCCAAGAAACACTCAAAACGCAACAATAAAAATAACAACAAAATACGAATAATGTGAATACGAAAAAAAAAGAAGAATGCAAACACGGAAAAAAAGAATATAAACAAACAAGAATAGTACTACAAATGCTAATGATAATGATCTTGACGGGGGAGCTTGGAGGAGGGATAATAATATGACACGAATGCCGATACGAACAAGAGTAACAAGAATGATGAGAAGACGAATAGTAATCACGATACTACTACTTATACGACTACTACAACTACTACTACTACTACTACTACTACTACTACTACTACTACTACTACTACTACTACTACTACTACTACTACTACTACTACTACTACTACTACTACTACTACTACTACTACTACTACTACTACTACTACTACTACTACTACTACTACTACTACTACTACTACTACTACTACTACTACTACTACTACTACTACTACTACTACGACTACTACTACTACTACTACTACTACTACCACGACTAGTACTACGACGACGACGACGACAACTACTACTACTACTACTACTACTACTACTACTACTACTACTACTACTACTACTACTACTACTACTACTACGACTACTAACGCTGAGACTAATACTAATAAAGATGAGGATTACGAGCTGAATAATAAGAATAAGAAAGAGAATAATAAAAAGAAGAAGAGGATGAAGAAATTAGAATAATCAGCAACCGTGCCTTGAGGCACGAAGTGGAGCCACTCCAAAGCTCGCATGTGTTCTCTGTTCTCTGTACTCAGGACTGGAGGGTTCTAATAGTCTACCGGCTGTGGCCCTAGATTTTCAAATTGCCTGGGCGCTCCCAGGCGCTCCTGGGCTGCCTCGCGTGACTTCTCCAAAGACCAAGGGGGGCACAGGTGCCTGAAAAGCGCCCAAGAGAGCCCAAGAGGCCTCCAAGGCAGCCCAAGAGCGATACAAGACGCCCAAGGTGGCCTCAAGACGGCACAAGAAGCCACACAGACGTCCCAAGAGCGCTCCAAGACAAGAGGGCCCAACGAGGCAACCAAATCATTGAGTGTCCTTGTGTGCTTTCTATGTGGTTCGCGTTCTCGCGTTTTCTGACTTCCGACGCCCCAAGGTTGCCCCAGCTGCCCCCAAGACCGCCCCAAGACGGCCCAAGAGGCTCCCAAGAGGACCCCAAGACTGTCCAAGGGGGCCCCAAGACAACCCAAGAGGCGCCCAAGACAGCCCAAGAGCGCCCCAAGACGGCCCCCCGAGGGGCCCACTCGGGAACGCAAACGGACAAACCGAGCCTTCCGTCCGAAGAGGCACCCAGAATGCCCCAAGAGGCACCCAAGAAAGCCAAAGAGGCCCCCTAGAGGCCCCCCGAGGCCCCGAGGAGGCCCAAAACGATGCCCCAAGAGGCCCCCAAACGGCACCCAAGAGGCATCGAAAACGTCTCCCAAGAGGCCCCCGAGAAGCAACCCATGATAACCAGACTACCATCCAAGAAGACCTAGTACACAACCCTGACAATGAGGCGAGATGGACCGAAGGCCACTAGATAATACACCATAGTACACTGTATATGGTCATAAGTATAAGAACGACCATGTTAAGCATACGAACGATAAATAATGAGTGTGGCATTAGTAATGCCAATAAATAGTGGGTGTGACATGGATTTTACACATGCGAATAATCAGAATGGCCATGTTAACAATACTAATAATATGAGTCAGTAGAATGGAACAATAGCACGAATACTGATATGGTTGCCACACTAATGCTACACCTGAGAAGATCATAATATTACAAATACGAATATTGAACATGATGCTAATGAAAAATAAGAAATGGCTACAGCTACTGACAATGCAAATGATAATGAAAAAGTAAAGTAATGGTGTCGGGCATGCACGATTTGTAATAATAGTACACATCATCATAACACGAATACTACATATCAAGGTATGTGTCGAAAGGATAATGCGACTAATGCTGGTCATGATGACAATGATGATGCTGCTAAGTTGGTGGTGGTGCTGGCGGTGATGGTGATAACGCTGATGATGACGGCACTGCTGCTCATAAGACTAATACAATCCGTTGCCGTAATAATGCAAAAAATAAGAAAGCTACTGATACAACATAGCGCCGCAAAAAAAATGAAAACGTTCTGAATCAGAATGGCAGCACCTGTAACAGCGCGGGTGATAATGGGCATGTTCATGCTAACTGTGACAGTACTGTTACTACGAATACTAACAATGACGAGAGTAGTAATAATGATAATAAGTACGATTACGATAGTAATACCAATGGTGGTACTAGAAGTCATGATAGTACTGACGAGAAACAGGTACTGCAAATGGGAACGATGCCGATAACGAAACCCAAAAATAAAGATACTTAAGATGCTGATGATGATGACGACGATGATGATGATGATGATTGTGGTGATGATGATGGTGGTGATGGTGACGGTGATGATGATAGTGATGATGGTGATGAATGTCGGGCCGAACTTTCGATTGCGTCACACATCACGCAGTTGTGGAAAACGCGCAAGGGTGGAGCCTTTTTTCTCCAAGGCGCTGGGTGCCAATCATCTCTCATCGTGTTCCCCCTCCCTTTGTTTCTATTAGATTGATCCGCGACCCCGCCTGGAAAACGTAAGTCCACTATGCAATCGTGCCTCCCCAGACTGCCTTTCGACGGACCGTGGAAGACCCCAAAAGATCCATCCGAAGACGGAGTCGCACTCCTCGATCCCCCCACGTGATTGCAAGGCCACCACGGGGCACTGCAGTGGACCACCGTGCGAACGCGAGCGCGCCTGGCATGCGCTGGTCCGCGCACGCACAGCTTGCGTTCACGTCTGCTTGCTTGCGCACAAAGCCTGCAGCAGCAATGACCCCTCACAAACAGCCGCCATCGCGCAACACGGGCGGACAGCCCAAGCCACCAACGCACGAGCTCGAGAATAAAAAACGGTGACGAGAAATATGCGAAAACCCTACGCTTGGACCCGACACTGGGTGTTCAAGACCGAGCCAAGCCGTGAGAAGCAGCGCACGGCGCAGCTTGTAAACGTCTATGGTAGCAAGGCCATGGCCCACTTGCGCCGCGCAAGACAACAAAAAACGCCCCGTCTGGACGTAGGTGGTTTGAGACCCGTCTTCATCCGACCTTCTTCTCAGCATTCGGCGAGGGGTTGACCACTGCTCCTGTTTGCATGCATGCACACACACACACACACACACACCTCGGCCAACCGCCAAGCAGGAACACTGACCCCCCCCCCCACGCGCACGCACACACACACACACACACACACACACACACACACAAACACACCATAGGCGGCGGAATCGGTATCGTGAGCAGACACCTCCGCGAACAAACAGGGATGGCGGGATGCGACCATCTGCGTCCGCTCTGCGATGCCACACTGTCCGTGTCACGACCTGACGTGAAACCACTGGGGTGCACTAACCACTCACTATCCTGACAACCCCGCCAAAATTTCAAAAGGGCCTCGGATGATTCAAGATGGCCTCCAAGATGACCGTCAATGTTACTCCGAGAGGCCACAAGACTACCCCAACACGGCTCGCGCCAAGGAAACTCCCGAGAGGCCCAAATCCGTCCACCAACTTCCTGGGAAACCAGGGCTTCTCGCAGCCTCGCCGCTGCGTTCACGACTGACTTTTGAGGCCTCCAGACGGCCCCTGGGTCGCCCAAGGTGAGCCCCAAGAGGCGCCCCAGGAGGGCTCCGAGATGGCCCACAGCGAGGGGCCAAGACCGCTCCAAAACCTTCCCAGGGGGTCTCCAGGATGCGAGATGTCAGGCTCCGGCGGGCCGAGGCCGAGTAGCCACCCCCTCTTTTTGTGTACCGGTTCTCTCCAGGAGGACCACACCGAGAAGACCCCAGGAGACCCCCAAGGAGGTCCAGACACTCCCAAGATGGCCCCAAGATGGCCACGAGAAGCCCTCAGGAGGCTCAACGGAGGATGTGCGAACGCCTTTCTGGCTGGCTCCTCCTCCTCCTCCTCCTCCTCCTCCTCCTCATTATCTTCTTCTTCTTCTTAATATTATTATGTGCTATCATTATTCTTATTATTGCTATTACTAATATTAGTGTTAGTATTCATCTTATTATTCATGTATATTATTATGATGGTTCGTCTTCTCTTTATTTTTATAATGATCATTAATATTAGTATTCTTACTACTATTAATCATAGTATTCTTATTATTCCTCCTCCTCCTCCTCCTCCTCCTCCTCCTCCTCCTCCTCCTCCTCCTCCTCCTCCTCTCTCCTCCTCCTCCTCCTCCTCCGCTCCACCACCACCACCACCACCATCACCACCATCACCACCATCACCACCATCACCACCACCACCACCACCACCACCACCACCACCACCTTCATTATGCCCGGGCATCAGTTCTGTAGGGGCTGGTGGGGTGCGCGAATGGCTCAGAAGTTCAGGCTGCCAGGACCAGGGCAAAAATAGATGATTCAATGCTCACGCCACAATAGCACATCTGGCATACCGTTACAACTAGCGCAAATTACAGTGCGCAAGCGGCAATACGCGAGACTTGAAGCTGAACGCAGCTGATTTCGAATGAGCGCTGCACGCGATGACAAATCTTCGATCCGAACTCTAATGCGTTTTAAACTGTAGGCCGAGCCTGGGAGCGCAGCGGACAGATCTACAAAGTCAAAACCAGGATTCCACACCAATCACCTCCTTGAAACAATCAAGGAGAACAGGCTGCGCATTGCAGACTACAGCCATTGCAAAGACCACCGAAGCAGAATTCCCAAGTAGCAGTGAAGCAACTAATACAACAACCCCCTTACATCGGAAAAGGCACCCGCAGTGTTTCAGGTGCTTCGCTGAGTGATCCGCTGCACTAGCCACATGCACAGAGAAAACGCGCCGCTCACAGAAACCCACACATTCTTGCCAGGCCACGCGTTGCATCCGCGAGGTGAGTACCGTAGTCGCGCAGCAAGAAACATAAATACAGGCTGCGCTGGCAGCGCGTCCTGGACAGGCTGATTAGAACCCACAGGCTGAGCGATGCCTGACAAGCGCTGTGAGGCAGCAACGCATGCCTCGGCCTTTCTTGAAAGGCTCGCGCCACCCGATGGTGCCGTGATTTCAACGACGGGCAAATTGCCAGATGGTGCCGTGCGTGCCCACGCGCGCACTGCACGACATATCCGCGATTGTGTTGTTATGTATGGCTCGTGTAATCAAGCGCCGTCATCCCCCTCGTCATCACCCTAGGAAGGGATCCCCTCGAAACGGGGGGTCACTCGACCCAAGAAAGCCGCAAGACAAAACCAACCCATAATCCCTATGGGCGACTTGCCGACATTGTAAAATGCCCGATGTGATCAGGACGCGCGCGTACCGCACGCGACGAAGTAACACGTTGTGTTCGCTTCAACGCCGCAGAGAATGTTCCTGAAAACTACGTTCCCGCTTGAGCGTAGCGTCAGTGGTCGACAACCAAGCGAGTTGGAAGAAGGGCCGCGAAGGAGAGCAAAAAGCCGTTCTCGCCCAAGCGGTGGGGCATACGTTGCCTGAAATACTGCATTCCCGCTCGAACGCGGCCCACATGTTTCGATCGCTGGGACCGCGCCTGAGGTGGCGACTCGTTGTTATCGCCCCTCCGCCACGCAGGCTGAGAAGGCGAAAACCCACCCCCACCCCCAATCCCGACCCCATCCCCGAACCCGCGATCCAGGGGGTCGGGACTGGGGGTGGGGGTGGCTTTTCTGGGTCCAGGACTGGAGAAAACTCCCCCCCACCCCCAGCCCCGACCCCTTCAATCGCCGGCTCGGGGATGGGCGTCGGGACTGGGGGTGGGGGTGCGTTTTCGCCTGCTGACAGGCATGTCCTGACAGGCTCGTTCCGACCTTGGGACGCCGCCCGCCCGCCGAGCCCCCGGGAGGGCACGGCGCCGCGCGGCTGCAGCGGCTGTCAAACACGCGAGAGCGGCACCGCGGCGAGCGCACGGCCACTTCAGCACGCAAGCGCACACGCGCGGACACCCCCCCCGTGCAAGCCGAGAGCAACAAAGGACGCGCGACGTGTCGATACGCTCACGGGCTACAGCCGAACCCCTATGCGCGAGGAACGCAGCGCTGGTCTGGAGGTGGAACTCACAGGTGTGGGTCGCAGCGCTGCCGGACACGTGCGTACGGCGGCAGCGGGGGAAAAGACGAAAGAGCCCACTAAGCGGAGCACCGTTTGCCAGTGCCGGCCACGGGGTAAGATCAGCACTCTGAATGCCCAACGATGCAGTACACAGACGCAGAACGCAACCGTCTACGATGGCAGTGCGCAATGAGCCGCACAAAGTGCCACCAGCGCCGCGGTGAGAGCGGCCTCGCGCCCGCGCGCTCGTCGCCTGCCTGCTACCCCTTTCCCCCAAGCGGGCGCCGATGCTCCTCGGAACGCGCGCTACAGCGCCACGGCGTGCCTGCCCCCCAGAGCCCTTCCACGCGACGCAGGTGGGCCGACACGGGCTGCGCGTCATCGCCAGTAACCTTGGGCCGACACACGCCCCGAGGATCGTCGACGGCGGCGCGACGCGCAGCCCCTTGCCCGTCTCCCCCTGGCCCTGCCCTCGGGCCGCCGAGGAGGGCCAGCCGAGGCAGCGGCGAGCCTCCCGCCCGGGCCCACGGCCGGCCAAGCTCGGCGCCCCGACGCCTCCTGGGGAGGCGGGCCCGGTCGAGGCGACGGAAGCCTGCAGCGGAGCGCCCCCCCCCAAAGGCCGAAAAACGCCGGGGAGCTCCGCCGTCGTCACGACCGACCCGCCTCCCGAAAGCCCGCGCGTCGCGCGCGTCGCGGCAAAGGGCTGCGCCTCTGTCTCCGGCATCTCCTCCGCGAGCTTGGGGCAGTAGGCGTTGCGGACCTGCGGGGGAGGCCAGCTGCGCGCCAGCACCGAGCCTGGCCAGGCCTGGCCTGGGTCCAAGCTCGGCCCGGCCGGGATCGGTGCGGGCGTATGTGGCGAACGGACCGACAAAGCACACCCATGCACACGAGGGGGGGACGGAGGGGGCCACGGGTGCGTGCCGTCGGATGGGGGGCCCCCGCTCGAACGGGAGCCCCCGCCAAGGCCCGACAACCCGCACCCATACCCATAGCCAGCCCTTAGGCCCTTCCCTCCCTCCGACCCCCTCATGGGTACCGGTGTGTGCTGCCCGCCAGTTGGAAAAAGTACGCTGAAACATGAAGCAGGAAGGCGGCTACCTGGCCTCGGGCCCGCCCAAAGAATCAAAAAGCACAGCAAAAGCAGGTCGACCCTCGAAGTACGAGGGCGCTCGAAATATTTGGGTCTGGACATCAAAACACGCACACTTTCAACGAACGGCGTGCATCGCCAACGCACTCCAAGACCTTGCGCGCCACGTCCTCGGGCGCGTCCTCCATGAAGATGGCGCTGTCGGGGTCCTCTGGGGCGTGGGGGGGGGGGGCCGCTGCGTGCCTGTCGGCCGCCGGCGCCCGGGAGGGGGGCCGAAGAGGTCATCCTCGAGATCCGAGAGCGCGGGGGGCCGAAGCGAGGAGCGGGCCCCAGGAAGACACGTCATCACCACCTCCGTGGCCCCTGCCCGCCGCTGCCCTCCCCATTCCCTCCCCCCGTGTCCTGGGAGAGGGAGGGGGCGAGAGAGGTAGCGAAGGTAAACCTTCTAGGCCCCGTAAAAACAAGAGGAGGTGGCGGAGGGGGTGGCGGAGGGGCTGGCGGAGGAGGAGGAGGAGGAGGAGGAGGAGGAGGAGGAGGAGGAGAAGGGAAGGGAAGGGAAGAGAGGGAGCATCCCCTTGCACTCCCGCTTGACCTTCCCGGCGGGAGAAGCTCAACAGGGAGGGGAGGGGAGGGAGGGGAGGGGAGGGGAGGGAGGGGAGAGGAGTGGAGCGGACGAGACGGGAAGGCAGGAGGGGAGGGGAGGGGACGGGAAGGAGGGGAGGGGAGGGGAGGGGAGGGGAGGGGAGGGGACCGATGAGGGCTGGCAGTCCGACTTCGACATCTTCGCCTGCCCCTTCTTCAGGCCCAGGAGCATGTGGTGAGACAGGATGACGGGCTTCAGCTTCCTGCCCGACAAACGAGGGCGGCGAGGAGAGGAAACAGGACGGAGGGAGAGAGGGCGGCAGGGAGCAGGCAGCACGAGGCGGAGGGAGGCTGGATCGGTCCGTGCTTCTCTGGTTTGCCCCCTTCGTCCTCCTCGTCCTCCTCGCCTCCTCGTCCTCCTCCCCCGGCTTCTCGTCCTCGTCCTCCCCGACCTCCTCCCCGCCTCCTTGCTCCCACGCGGCCCTGCGCTCTCCCCCCGTGGAAGCCTCGAGCGAGAGCCCCCCTGCCCGCGAGTGGGCCTCCGAGCGCGGCGTGGCCTCACGCTGCTGCGCTCAAGAGTGCCCTGCGAGGGCGCCGGCCCAGGCGGCCGTGGCGGGGCCGCGGCCCCGCCGCGCCGACCCGCGCCCGCGGGGCGTGGTGTCTGGGAGGCCGTGGCTGTTTCAAGGGCACTCGGTGGTGAAATGTGATGTGGAAGGTCCCGATCACCCGTGCTTGTTGTTTTGCAAGTCCTGCGGGGCTACGCTGGCCCAGCGAGCGGTGCCTGGGAAGGGCATTGCAGGGGCCTGCCTGGGCCCGAGGCACATCGGGCTTCGCTCCCAGAGGTCCCGTCTCCGTAGGCACCTGGACCCCCTCGGCCTTCCTTCCTCCTCCGCGGCTTTCTGTTCTTAGAGGCCCCGAGGACGAGGACATGTTGTGGCTCCAGGGGAAGCTGGGGGGGCCTGGCGGTGGTGTTGGGCCCTCGGTTGGGGGTCGGCCCTCGCTGGGGCCCGCTGGCGGGCCGCCTGGGGGCCCTGCGGCCTGCGGCTCACAGGCCCCCATCAGCTTCCATCAGTACGGGATCGTGGTCCCCGTACTGGACCTGGGGCGAGTTGCTCGCCTGCACGGGTTCGCCTCGCCCGATTCGGCGGTTGAATGGGCAGAGCACTGCAGGCGAGCTAAGCTCGAGGCCGAGGCCGCCGGGGCCTGGCCACTAGGAGGGCGTATAGGCCCTTTCTCGCCGCTGCGGCGGCAGGCGGACTTCGTCCGCCCGACTCCTAACCTCACCTAACCTCCTCCTCCTCCTCCTCCTCCTCCTCCTCCTCCTCCTCCTCCTCCTCCTCCTCCTCCTCCCCCCCCTCCTCCTCCCCTCCCTCTTCCATGATGCACGGTGGCGCTTCCCGCCTGCCAGCCGCGTCGCAGTAGTCGCGCGCCAGCATATTCACTTTGCGCTGGTCCACCCCCAGCTGGCACACGTCCGCCCGCAGGAAGAAGATATCCTCCCCTCGAGCCGATTCCAGGAGGAGGGTAACATGGGGCCAGGACTAAATCGGGAGGACGAGGGCAAATCTCCGAGAGCTGGCGGGAATGCAGGGTGCATGGAGCGCCGCAGCAGTCCTGGAGCGATCGAAGAAGTCTCCGAGAGCATTCCAGAACGCTCTGGAACGACCTGACATCGTCCGCTAAGCCTGCCCGGACCCCTCCCGCGAGAGGCAGGTGCTGAGGACGGGACACTCCAGAGCGAACGCCCGCACTGGGCCTGGGCATGGAGGACAGAGGAGGAACGGGTGATGTCGAGGTTGAGGTCCGGCGCAGGGGAAGTGCTCCCACAAACGTCAGCGGCGACAGCAGAACCGAGATCGGGACCGAGACCGGCCGAAACCGAAAGAAGCCGAAGAAGACGCAGCGACACGGCAACGACGCACCGGCCGACAGAACCGAAACCGGCCGAGTCCAAGCGACTGCGATTCGGCTCAACCCACCGAACAGCGGGCACCGTTGCTGCCGGGGCCCCCGTCCGCTGGAGGGAACTCTTCTGAGCCCGGGTCCATTGTGGCCTGCGCTTCGGCTCTCTCGTTGGGCCGCTCCCGCAGACCCCGAACCCCCAAAAACGTTGCAATCTCCTCCGGGGCCGGCTTCTACTTCCGGTGGCCTTCCGCCAGCCTGCCGCCGACATCCGCTGGCGGAGCCGCCCCCGCTTCTCGACATCCGCAGGCTTCCGATGCCTCCGCCTGCCACAGAGGAAGAGGAGGCAGCCCGTCGACGCCTCGCAAGCGAGGCCCCCTCTGTTGGCGCGCAGCGCGGCCAGGCCGCAGCGGGCGCCTTCCTCCAGCCCGTCCCTCCCCGCCGCGCACTGCATGATGGGGTAGAGGATCTGTGCCGCAGTGAGCTTGTCCTCCTGCCGACCTGGCGAGGGCGCCACCACCGAGGACGTGTTCGAGCGGCGGCCGATCGAACCTGTGCAGTGCTGCACGGTGAAGGGCACGTGGAGCGAGCAGGCTGCTGCAGCTGGGGCTGATTGCACAGGACACCCGGCAGGACACAACAAGTCCCTTCCGAGGGCAACTCGTGCCCAAGACACGAGGAGGACAATAAACGCAACAGAAGAGGCACAGAGGAACCCTTGACTTTGCAGGGTCGACCTACTGGTCAGGTCCGACTGTGCCCAATGATAATCGGGAGCGGCCCAAGAGGGGCGTGTCCAAGAGGGGGGGGTGCAAATCATGACCGGCGGCATGTGCGCGGCCCAGCGGGGGGGCCAGGGACGTAATGAAATAGGAAGGGGCGCCATGAAATCTGGGGAAATATCATGGCCCCCGCCATGATATGCACCCCCCCTAGTCATCCCCCCCCTCTTTTCCGCCCCCGAGATAAGCGTGGGGGGGGGATCGCGCGGGGGTGTCGGAGCGGGCCGTCCTTTGCCGAGCGCGAGAAGGGGCGAATCACAGAACGGGACGGCTCGGCGCGCTTTGGGGGGGGCGGGAGAGGTGGCACGGGTCGACCTGCTGGTCAGGTCCGACTGCGCCCCATGATAAGCGTGGGGGGGGATCGCGCGGAGGTGTCGGAACGGGCTGTCCCTTGCCGAGCGCGAGGAGGGGGGCGAAGCGCAGAGCAGGACGCCTCGGCGCGCAAAGGGGGGCGGGAAGGGTGGCAACGGGTCGGCGGGCGGGGCGCAGAGTGCGCTTGCAAACAAAAGTCGTCCCGCCAGGCGAGCCGAAGCTCACCTCGGGGCCGAGGAGCAAAGGCACAGCCGCCCTGCGACTCCTCACGGGGAGGGGCGGGGAGGCGAAGGGAGAGGTCCAAAAAGGTCCAAAGGACGCGATGGGCACTTGCAGAATAGCTCCACCCTCCTTCAGGAATTCGGGTACAGTTCTGCTGGCGATACGACAGCAATAGGCACCCCATACTCAATGGCTGCCGCAGCCGCCGATCGATGGAATCGCATTGCATAATCGAATCAGTCGGATGCAACCCCACCCGATGAGCAGAGAAGTCACCCCTGCAGGTGAGTATCGAAATAATCGATGCCGCGCGCAGTCATCGGCACATCACGCATCATCGAATCGAACAAGCCGTGGACAAGACAATAACACTCCCCCTGCGACCCATGATCTGGCAACACTTCTTGACCCTGGCCAACGTGGTCCGGCAGGCGACGTCAAGGGCTTGCCCCCAGTACGCCTCCGCCTTGCTGCTGATCTCCTGGCGGGGGATATCCTCTTTCTCCGCCACTCCTCTCTCCCGCACAGCTCCTTGCTCTCCTGCAACGCTCTCCATGCCACGTCAGTCTCATCTCCTCTCCTGACCTCTCTCATCCCTGCTAATCTCGCCATGCTGGACTGCCTTGGCCTGGAAACAAGGTCTCAAACGCCTTCAGTCTTAAAGACGTTTGTCTGCAGACGGCGCAATGTTCAACACGAATGTAAGGCGCAGGGTAATTAGCCTAACCGTGGTGACCAGAAGGGAACGCTTGGCAACCAACTGGCAGCACAACTCGCATGGCCTGCGGATGCAACCGACGGGCTGCATGGATCTTCGGCTCTACTTAAGTAAGAAGCCAACAGCGCTTGCGACGTCAGAAGGCGAGGCAAGTGTTTCACCATGGAGGCCTATGATGCACTCAGTCCAAGAAGTACGGCTGCGTACCGCACTTGCTTCTCAAGGAACTCCAGGCCCAAGGAGCTTCGAGAACACATCAAAAAGTACCTGGCGCCCTAGAGGCTCCAAAACCGCCTGGAAATGCAAGCCCTGGAAACACAATGCGTAGGTCTCAACATGGCAACCAGATGGCCCAGAGAGATCCAAAAATGGTCCGAAGATGCACCAATGAGACTCCAACATCGCATCCGGGAAGCAAGATACAGTGATGCTGGCGCGCGGGCCCTACGCAATGAGACATGGGGGCGCAGGTCAAGTACCAGGATGCGGGGCAGCGCAGGACGACGCCAAGCCAAAGACGCTGGCGGCTACCGGAACACAGCACCAGGCCTAGGGACAGTCGGGAACAAGACAAAATCTGCGAGGTTGGCCGCGACAGGGGGCAGAATCGAGCCGGAGACGGGCCAACATTGCAAAGCAACTCGGCCACTGCGACCACGGAGCCCTTACGAATACACTTCTCACCGCTCCCACGGTCACGATCCGTCGAGGGAATAGAAAATATGATTGCCAGCGCGGACACTGGACAATGGATTCTGCCAGTCTCGATGTGAGCCCTACGGAGTACAACTCGCCAGCCCAACGGGCCAGACCCGTGCCAAGATCTCCAGTGCCAGGTCAAGGGTCTTCCTGGTCTACGCGCGCGGGGCAGCCCGTGGGAGTCCCCGGACGAAAAGCGCCCTGGCAGATTCCCGGCAGACTCCCGACAGACACCGTCCAGATGGTTCTCGTCCTGGGCGTGGCCTTCAAGGCCCCCAATCTTGAGAGCGCTCCACGAGCGCTCCACGGAGCATCCTGCGATTTTCGCGTTGTCGCCTTTGCGTGCTTCCGACCCCCCAAGTCGGCCCAGAAGATCGCCCCAAGACAGCCCAAGAGGCTCCGGATGGTCCCAAGACGGCACAAGAGGGCCCCAACACAGCCCAGGAGGCCCCCAAGCAATGCTCGAGGGGACTCCGAACTGCCCACAGACTGCCAAAGGCGACTGCCAACTCCCGCCTCCCCCTCTTCGTCCTCTTCCTCTGTTTCTTCCTCCTCCTCCTCCTCCGCCCCCTCCTCCTCTTCCTCCTCCTCCTCTTCCTCCATCCCTGCCCCTTAGAAGTAACTCCTTCCCGTCGCACCCCGAGGCCAGTCGAATGAACGGGCTGGGCGTTTCGCCTGAGACTTCCTCGCCACGTCTGCTTCTCAAGCTTGACATTTGAAATTATTTCACGGATGGAAGGGCGGTCCAGTTTCAAAACGGGGTTTTCGCAATAGCGCCGCGCACACACGCACACACGCACTTCACGGACGGATGGCGGCCCGTCCCGTTTTCAAATGTGGTTATCGCCTTGGCGCCGCGCACACTCGCCGTAGGAATTTCAAAATTTCGGCGATGGAGGGCAGCCTGCCCTCAAAATGCGGTGATCGCTTCAGCGCTGCGCACAATCGTTGAAATTACCCTGCGACGTGCCCAACCCTTTGGCACCAAGGGATGATATGAGGTGCGCCGACACGAATGGCAACAATGCAACAGAAGGTGCATGGCGGATAACTGTATGTATGTCGTGCGAAGAGTGCGCGGCCGACTCGCGGAACAGAGGTGCAAAAGGGCAAGAGGCAGTGTACTGGGAAGAAAAGAAAGAAGAAGAAGAAGAAGAAGAAGAAGAAGAAGAAGAAGAAAGTCATCGAGGTGGAAGAACAATCACCGCGGCAGAAGCAGCGAGATGATGGAACATGAGCTAGATAAGATCACATAGGCGGAAACGCAACCAGACAATGAAGGTCGCGTTTTTCCATGCCGAAATGTTCAACACTTGCGCGGCCAGCGCTCCGCGTTGCTGCAGCGCCTCGGAAAATTGAAAGCTCCCGTTATGAGTGTAAGAAGGGGTCACCCCGCCAGCCTCTCCGCTTCCTCCCTGCACCTCTTGGTGCGAGCAACAAACTCACGCAGGCGCGCCGCCAGTCCTCGAAAGTGGCGACAGCTTCACAATTCGCAAACCCCCCAGGGGATGGTGAGTTCTTCTCCAAATCTGCGTGGGACCCCACTGTGCTGGGCCCCCTAGGAGCCCTCGAACGCGGGGGCAGCTTCATACTTCGCAGCCCCCCCGGGGATTGACCGCGCGCAGGACTCGGACCGTCCTCGGGCCCAGGTCGACCCACACCGATTCTGAGGTGTGGTATGGTATGGCTTTGCGCTCAACGCGGGGTCAAGCCTGGATCAACCGAGCTTGGCTTCAGACTCGCACTCTTCGGCGCTGCCTTTCTCGCGGGGAGGAAAAGGGGGAAGTGGAAGGAGGAGGACAGGAGGAGGAGGGGGAGGAGGAGGAGGAGGAGGAGGAGGAGGAGGAGGAGGAGGAGGAGGAGGAGGAGGAGGAGGAGAGGAGGAGGGGGAAGGAGAAGGGGGGGGAGGAGAAGGGGGGGGGGCGGGGGTGGAACCACAAGTGGGCGGCGAGCAGGGGGCCAGGAGGGCAGGGGGGAGACGGGGGGCGCTCGTCGCGTCGCCAGGGTCGTGGGCAAAGAGGCCGCGGTGCAGCCTGCTCCTCCCTCCTCCCCCCTGCGCTGCTCCCCCTCTCCCTGCCTCCTCCCTCCCCCCCTCCCCCCCCTCCTCCTCGCTGGCGCGAGAAAGGCTGGCCTCGGAGGACCAGAGGAACTTCACGCGTGACATGTCCATGCCGCTGGCCTTCCACACCTCAATGAGGTACTTGCCTCAAGTGCAGCGGGGGGGGCGGCCTCCAAGTCCCGGCGGGAGGAGATAGAGGACCCCACCGGCGTGCTCGTGGAGAGCGCTCGGCGGTGCCAAGAAAAGAGATAGAGAGGAAGAAGAGGACGAGGAGGAGGAGGAGAAGACGACGGCGACGACGACGACAAACAGGACGACGACGAGGACGACGACCAGTTCGAGGACGATGGGGACGGGGGGGCAAGGAGGAGGACGACGACGGCGACGAGGAAGAGAACGAGGAGAACAAGGATGACGACGATGAGGACAACGACGAGGAGGAAGAGGAGGACGACGACGACAATGACGACGATGGGTGAAGCAGCATAGAGGAGGAAGGCAGCGGGAGAAGGAAGAGGGGGAAGGATAGCCCTGGAATGTCAGTGTGCTGGAGATGCCCGCGACACGAGCTCGGAGCTGACCACGTTGGCGAGAACGCCCGATAGTTCCCCTCCCCCTCCTCGTCCTTCTCCTCCTCCTCGTCCTCCTCCTCCTCCTCGTCCTTCTCCTCCTCCTCGTCCTCCTCCTCCTCCTCGTCCTCCTACTACTACTACTACTACTACTACTACTACTACTACTACTACTACTACTACTACTACTACTACTACTAAGACTACTACGACTACTACGACTACTACGCCTACTACTACTACTACTACTACTACTACTACTACTACTACTACTACTACTACTACGACTACTACTAAAAATAAGAATAATAAGACCACTTCTATTACGACTTCTACTACTACTTCTACTACTACTAGTACTAGTACTACTACGACTACTACTACTACTACTACTACTACTACTACTACTACTGATACTGCTACTGTTACTACTACGACTACTACGACTACTACGACACTACTACTACTACTACTACTACTACTACTACTACTACTACTTACGACACGATTACCTTTTTTTTTTCACTTACTACTACTACTAATACTACTACTATACTACTTACTACTTACTACTACGACTACTACAAAAAAGAATAATAAATAATAATAATAATACCACTCT